AACAATCTCAAACTAGCTCTTAGCCAATCTTCCAACACTTATTATTGCAATAAGTGAAAGAATTTTTTCTTTATCTACAGTTTGTGTAGTTTAAACTTTTCTCTCATCATTAACATTATATGGTACAAGAAAACTAAATTAATCGAGCATAGTAAGTGAGATAAATCAAGCTAGCACAATATCGAGACTTTTCCAAATTCACGTCCTGTCAGATTGTCATTGTACATTAATTGGAGAATTAGTATCAACCACTTATGTTTATAGTTAAGGAAAGACAAGGGCAGTTAGCTACATGAATCAGGACTACTGCACTATACCTATGTTCTACAATTATTGGCCTCATATCCTCCAATAATATATGTCCGTCAAATGAAACTTCATCTATCTCCACGTGAAGGGACCACTATTGCCAGATGAAATTAACCTAGGTGATGTCACACTATTATTGATTGTTGTCATTAACCAATGGTTAAGAAGGATTCATCTTGATTCATGTTTGAGATAAGAAAGTCTAAATTAAATATAGGATAAAAGACTGTTTATTACTCTCATGTTTTGTCGTTTTCAACATTTAGTACATCAAGTTTTTTTCGTCTCAGATTCATACCTAAAGTGTAAATTTTGGGACGATCTCATACATCCGATAGTCAAACTGTTAAATCTGCCGTTAATTGTGACGTGGCGCCCATGTGGACAATGACTAGGCGTCACGTGTCATCCACGTTTTTTTTTCCTTCTTTCTTCTTCTTCTTCTTCCTTCGACTGCAACTTTTTTTTTTCTTCCTCCTTCTCCTTCTTCCTTCCTCCTTCTCCTCCTTCTTCCTTCTTCTTCCTTCTCATTCTTCTTCTTCTTCCTCCGAATCTAGGGAAGTTTTTTTTTTCTTTCTTCTTCCTCCTTCTTCCTTCTTCTTCCTTCTCATTCCTCCTTCTTCCTTCTTCTTCTTCTTTTTCTTCCTCCGAATCTGGGTTGCAGTTTCGGTTTTTTTTCTTTTTTCTTTTTTTGTTCTTTCTTCTTCCTCCTCCTTCCTCTTTCTTCTTCCTCTGACTGCAACTTTTTTTTTCCTTCCTCTTTCTTCTCCTTCTTCCGTCCTCCTTCTTCCTTCTTCCTTCCCCTTCTTCTCCTTCTTCCTTCCCCTTCTTCTCCTTCTTCCTTCCTCCTTATTTCTTCTTCCTTCTTCCTTCTTCTTCTTCCTCCAAATCTAGGGAAGATGAAGTTTTTTTTTTTTTTTTGGTGAGGAAGATGAAGAAGAAGAAGAAGGAGAAGAAGGGGAATGAAGAATGAGGAAGGAAGAAGGAGAAGAAGGAGGAAGAAAAAAAAAAATTGCAGTCGGAGGAAGAAGGAGAGAAGAAAAAAAAAAGAAAAAAAAAATCGAATCTGCAACCCAGATTCGAAGGAAGAACAAGAAGAACAAGAAAAAGAAGAGGAAGGAAGAAGGAGGATGGAGAAGGAAGAAGGATGAAGAAGAAGAAAAAAAAAACTTCCTCAGATTCAGAGGAAGAAGGAAGAAGGAGAAGAAGGGGAAGGAAGAAGGAATAAGGAATAAGGAAGAATGAGGAAGGAAGAAGGAGAAGGAGGAAGAAAACAAAGAAGAGTTGCAGTCGGAAGAAGAAGAAGAAGAAAAGGGTTTAGGGTTTAGGGTTTACACTTTAGGTATGACTCTGAAACGAAAAAAACTTGATGTACTAAATGTTGAAAACCACGAAACATGAGGGTAGTAAACAATCTTTTACCCTTAAATATATTATTGATAAGTAAAAATATACTAAAACGGGATGAAAATTAAATATTTTTTTAATAAAATAATATTATCTACACTAATGAAGTAGGGAAGTGAGTTAAATCTCACAATAGGAACAATAGGAAGAAATTTTTCAGATGACCTGGTACTTGAGTCGATCTGGAGTACCGAGCTAATAATAGGCTAACATGTGGCCTGCTTTATATTTTATTAAAAATTTGGTGACTTCGAAACAGTGGACCTCGATAACTGAAAAGGGACCGTCAGACAGAGAAAAAATAGATTTGAATTTTTTTTATACTGTCAGCTTCTCATTTCCCTAGAACTTTTTGTTCAAAATTTTTATTAGTTTATAGGTACTTCAGGATTTTTTCTATTCTGGGTTTTTTTTTCAACCATTCAGGAATTCAAGCATAGTATGTTTTGGGCTTTGAAGAAAACAAGATCACTACAACCTGCATCCAAACGGCAGCAACCAAGCAATCTCCGACCAAAACATCACCCCACCTACATGACTGCATCCAAGCGGAATATGAACACCCACCCGAATATGAACACCCGCCATCAGGAACACCCACCCGAAACTCCAGTTTTCATCGCCCAATTGAATTGTTTTGTTCTTCTCTATTCATGCTCAACTGGAACATGATTTTGAAGGAGATGGCAGAATTTAAAATTAATAGTTGAGTTATGATTTTGAATAATGTAAATGAAAAAGTTTCTTTTTTCTTCAAATTCCCGCAGAAGGGAGAAAGGAAGCAGAGACTCTTGGGGGAAGAGAAAGGAACGAGGGATTAGTGGGCCTAGACCCCAATAAATTTGATTTTTTATTCTTTAGAGTGGTCGGGAATAGGTGTCAAACTACAGCTGGTTGAACTCCAGGTCAGCTGATGAACCAGAAACGTGAAAAATTTCTCCAGTTATTGTCATCGTAACATTCCAAAGCACATTAAAAATACCAAAACAGTTCAAAAATACCGCACATTAAAAATTTCATAATAATTACTTTACAAGTGTGAACAATATGAAAAAAAGTATGCAGACGCTCATGATCTTAATCTCTATGCTTGGACGTTGGGTATATCGTCATTTGAATTTTTAAGACCCTACAAACCCTCATGAATAATATTTTTAAGGGGAGTTTAAAGTATGCGAAAAATGTGAAAACAATATACAAACGCTGGTGATTGCATTTTCTATGTTTAGACGATAGTTACATCGTCGTTTGGATTTTTAGAACCCTCCAAACCCTCATGAATAATTTTTTTGTTTGAGTACAAAATTCAGAAAAAAATCATAATAATTAATGTAGAAGTATGAAAAAATGTAAAATAATAATAATATACAATCGCTCATAATGACAAGCTTTACAATTTTTGTGAAGGGGTCAACTCCGAAGTTCGACACCATAATCCCAAACCATAGATTTATATTTAGCCAACGATCATCGTTTACACTCTATTTTTCTCATTGGATTTAGTTTTTTAGATTTTCTTTTTTGAAAACATGATCTTTTGGTGGATGCAAAAAAATGAACGGTTCAGATCATTGATATCACGTTCTGATGTTTTGATTAACTGAGATAATGAGTCGATATTATATGTTTCTTGAGATTTTATATACTCTAAGCAATATTTTCACTAACCGTAAAAAATCTGAACATGATATCAATGTTCCGAACCATTCATTTTTCTACATCCGATAAAAGGTCATGTTTTCGAAAAAAGATAATCTGAAAAATAAAATCCAGTGAGAAGAATAGAGCGTAAACAATGATCAATGGTTAAATATAAATATAGGGTTAGGGGATTATGGTGACAAATTTCAGAGTTGATCCCTTTATGAAAATTGTAAAACTTGTCATTACAAGTGATTGTATATTATTTTTTATTTTATTTTTTACATTTTTCACACTTAGCCATTAATTATTATGATTTTTTATTAGGCTCCACAATCTTGAAAAAAAAAAAAGCTCTTCATTTTGCATATCTTTGGACGTTTGATATATTGGAATAATGTACGAATGTTTTTTCATTAGGCTCTTATTTTTTTGGTATGTAATACTTGAAAGGCAAATGTATTTTTATGTTTTGAAGTGATATTTATGTGATAATGTGTTGTGTAGATACAAATTTAGTATTACGTTTTCATTTGATTATTTATTGAAGTGAAAATCTATTATTTTTAAAGGGTTTCGAGTCAGGTCTTATTATCCCTTCATTTTAAAGGGTTGTTACACGATACGATCCATTAAGATATCAAGTATGTCACTAAAACGACACGAACACGATGAACACAAGAGGAACGCCAAGTCTAGATAATACCACCCTTTCATTAATAGAAAGAAATATATAAAAGATTGAATGATAAGCAGAGGATCGGAAATGCCTAAAGTACCCTTGCTTAGGTAGTTGTCTTTGCATGCCAAATTGAGGTTGCTCATTTGTCTAAGGAAAATCCTCCGAATTGGATTTTCTCTCATTTCTCTCATCCCCAAACCCCAGTTAGAGCTGGTTTGGAATTGCTTAAATTTTTGTAAAAGTAATTTTTTTTTTAATAATTAGCTAAAATTGTGTTTGAAAATAATTTGTTTTTTCTTTCAAAATCATGGGTGTAAAATAGCAAAAAGTAGAAGCAGTTCTACCTATACTTCTAAATAAACACTTTTTGTTTTTAATTTTTTTTTAATTTTTATAGGAGCAGTTGAATAGTTTCAATTAATGAAACTTTCATATTGAAAATCATACCCTCGTCTCTTTTTTGGCTAAAAACATTTTTAACACTATAGTTTACCAAACACTTACCTAATTTTTTTTTCACAATTGTTTATTCTTATAGCACAGCAAAAGCAATTTAAAAAAAAACTACAACAATCTCAAACTAGCTCTTAGCCCATCTTCCAGCACTTATTATTGCACAATAAGTGAAAGAATTTTTCTTCATCTATAGTTTGAGTAGTCTAAACTTTTCTCTCATTAACATTATAAGGTACGAGAAAACTAAATTAATCGAGCATAGTAAGTGAGATAAATCAAGCTAGCACAATATCGAGACTTTTCCAAATCCACGTTCTGTCATATTATCACTTCATTAATTGGAGAATTAGTATCAACCACTTATGTTTATAGTAAAGAAAGACAAGGGCAGTTAGCTACATCAATCACGACATTAATTTAATTTAATGTGACCCATTAAACACGTTCTGCAAAAACATATTGAAGAAGAAATGCTTATATATAGGCAGCCTATTTTTGTGCTATAGGTAAAAGAAAATTTTAATTTTCAATTACCAGAGGAGCAATATGTATTGAGTTTTCTTAGTCATCTACAAGAGGCAAATTGACCGTACAAACTTGCTTGTTTTCCTGTATACAAAGTAAGTGCGAATTCACTTCATTTTCTTTTTCATTTCCAATTAAACATACTTTTATTGATACATTAAAAAATTATCACGCATTCATTCTCAAAAGAATAAATTTCATTTCAAACCGTGTTAGACAACTTATTATTAGTACCAATAACATCTCAATTTTCAATTTATAATCCTTTTTTTTTTCCTTTCATCTGGCTTGTTTCTTCTCCATTGCTATGTTTGCACATATCCATTGTTTTGAAGCCTTTTGTTTCATACTTACCTGTTAAGGGAACACTGCAGCTTTCTTCTTAATATCTTTTAGTTGAATAGTTTGGCTGTGTACATAGGAAAATTTTAGTTGTGACGGAAACACGGATGATACATCACATGTTTTTATGTAAGTGGTGAAATTTTTTAATTTTTAAGCTATTAACCTTTTAACACACATATCCAACCATTTACATAGAGACACGTGATGTACCGTCTTGTGTGACGGTCACATTGAAAAATCTCTCGTGTATATACATATGTTTTGGATTTATGTCTATTAAGTAGAACCATGCACTGATATTAGACAACTTATTATTAGTACCAATAACAACCCACTTTTCAATTTATAAACCTTTTTTTTCCTTTCATCTGGCTTGTTTCTTCTCCATTTGCTATGTTTGCACATATCCACTGTTTTGAAGCCTTTTGTTTCATACTTACCGGTTTAGGGAACGCTGCAACTTTCTTCTTAATATTTTTTAGTTGAATAGTTTAGCTGTGTATATAAGGTCTAAAATATCGATGATATCGGAAATATCGGTAGTTCAAAAACACAAAAATTTCGATGGAAATATCATGATATTATCGATATCGATAAAAATTGAATAAAAACCACGGAAATTGTAAGAAAAACTTGGAAATTTTTATTGAAACTTTGCAGGATGTTTATTTAGTCAATTATCTAGTAGTTTATTGCAAAAAATTGGAAGGAAATGCATTGCATGATGGATTTAACTGATTTAAGTTGATTATATACCGAGTTGGCAAACATTGTGAGTGTAGAAAATATGTAGTAATTAATGAAAGAAGTTTAAACACACTATAATCATTTATATATAATGAATTAGTACAATATTTTACACTTTATACATTGCATGGTAAGATACATAAGTGACTTAGTATCACATAGAGTTCCTATCAAAGTCTAAAATATCGATGATATCGGAAATATCGGTAGTCCAAAAACACGGAAATTTCGATGGAAATATCGAGATATTATCGATATTTTAGACCTACATATGTTTTGGATTTATGTCTATTAAGTAGAACCATGCATTGATATTGTCTTCAATCAACCACTTAGGCGTATACATGACTGGTGTCAAACTTATGGTGTGATTGTTTGTTGTAGGCTTCGACCCCATGGGGGAGCCAACGAATTTGGGAAAGACAGTGATGCCAAAGGAAAGTGAGGCTGAAATTGAAAGTGATGATCAAGTAAGTGATTCTCATCTCTTAGACGGTAAATGTAGTTGGGTTTAAGAGCACTTTAAACCGTATGAGGTTAAGACCCTGTTAAGCGTCTTGAGAAAAAGAAATCTTTGTACGTTAAAGAACATGTAGATGCTTCGGGTTTTTAAACGGTATAAAACATGTGGAAAGTACTAGATATATATGATAGAAACTATTTACATGTAGGTGGAAATTTATTTACAACTCTATTTACAATAAAGAACAAAATAGGTGTCAAAAACGGGGTTCATAAATTTTGCAAATTTAGAGTAGTGTTGAACTTATGATTCCTTTATCAAAGTAAAATTACATCCTAAGCTAATTGTAATTAGTAAAATACACAGAGTTTGGTGTATAGGAGTTGGAAAGCAATTCATTCCAGTTAAATTAGTGGAAGGGTTTAAACAAAAAAGTATAGCTAAAAGGTTAAATTAATCACGTTTAAACAAAAAAAGTATAGCTAAAAGGTTAAATTAATCACAAACAATAAGTGAGATAAATCTGGCTAGCACAATATCGAGACTCTTCCAAATACGTTATGTCAGACTCACTATATTAATTGGAGAATTAGTATCAACCACTTATGTTTATAGTTAAGGAAAGATCAGGGTAGTTAGCTACCTGAGTTATGAAATTTATTTAATTTGGCCAAGTAAACACCTTCTGCAAAAACATACTGAAGAAACAATGGTTAAATATAGCCAGTATCATTATGCTATTGTTAAAAGAAAATTTATTTTCATATACCAGAGGATGGCAAGTAATATTATTGAGTTTTCTTAGTTATCTATATGAGGCAAATTAACCATACAAACTTGCTTGTTTTCTATATACAAAGCAGAAGCGAACTCAGTTCATTTTAATTCTGTTTTTTATGAGAAGTACTGTTATTGACATTAAAAAATTATCACAACACTCATTCTCACAAGATTTTGAGTTCGATTCCCTTACCAACTTGTCCATGGCTCGTCAGGGAAAACATTTTTTTTATTAATTTTATTATTATTAAGAGAATGAAAAGAATTTGAAACTCTTACAATAATTTAGGGGAGAGAGAGTTTCAAACCCAAGACATATAGGTAGAAATCCACTAGGAATATTTTTTCATTGTGTTCGGAACACGGGTAGTACTTACGTGTTTTTATATAAGTAGTGGAAAATTTATTTTTTAAGTTATTAACCTGTTAACACACATATCTCATCATTTATATAGTAACACATGATGTATCATCCTGTGTTTCGATCACACTAAAAATCTCTTATCTACTAAGATATTAGACCACATGTAATCAGGTTGATATGAATATTTAGTAGCAACATTCCACAATAACTCCGAATGCAATTGGCGGGGTTTTTTTTGTTTCTTACAATAGTTTGCTCGAAGTATCTCAGTTGATTGTGTGCCTAACGAAATATTTGAATCAATGCAGAGAACGATCTCAGCCGTTAAAATGGCACATGACATGGAAAAGCAGTGGCGTAATTTGTCTGAACTGTCCGGTGAGCGGTGTATCTATAGAGTTCCTGAGCGTCTACGGCAAGTAAATGAGAAAGCATATACACCTCAAGTAGTCTCTATAGGCCCACTTCACCATGACAACAAAAGCTTAAAAGCCATGGAAGAGCACAAATTAAGGTACCTGCGACATTTTCTAAGTCGAACACGGGTAAGACTGTTTGATTATATACAAATGGTGCAGCGCCAAGAGGAAAGGTTGCGAGGTTCTTATGCAGAACCCATTGTGTTTGACAAGGATGAATTTGTAAGAATTGTTTCAGTGGATGCCGCCTTCGTCCTTGAGGTATTATTGAGGTTTCATTACTCAAATTATACAAAGGAAGATGATTACATATTCAAAAATCCTACAATGAAAGAGGATGTGGTTCGAGATTTGAAGTTGCTTGAAAATCAGCTGCCATTCTTCATTCTTCAAGATCTTTTCACATTTTTTCCTTATTCACCTGAGCATCCTTCGTTACTTAAAATTTCCTGCACTTTTTTCCAAAGCCAAATCGATAGCAAGGGAAAAGAGAAATATGACGAGATAGGAGTAGAAGTGAAACATTTTGTTGATCTGATAAGAATTCTATACCTACAAATGAAACCCAAAACTACAGACACACCCAAAACCACTTTGTGCGACCGGATGCAAGTGCGCTTATCTCACTCAATCTTTCTGACGTCTGGGTATACACCCAACGCCACAGCCACACCCAACGTGACAGAGCTACACCAGGCTGGAGTCAAGTTTAAGGAAGGAAAAGACAGCAGGTTAATTGACATAAAATTCTCGAGTGGGATCCTCGGAATTTGTGGGATCCTCGAAATTCCAAAGTTAAGAGTGGACGATACCACAGATCTGACACTCAGAAATCTCCTTGCTTTTGAACAATGCCATCACCGAGGGAAGGATTACCTAGCTAATTATGTTTTCCTTATGAAGCGTCTCGTTAAAACCCAAGATGATGTGCAATTGCTTGCTGAGAAGGGAATTATTGATAATTGGCTAGTTGATACCCAGAAGGTATCTACTTTGCTTCGTGACCTTGGCACCGGGATGTTAGTTGACAACAGCCATTATGCCACTCTTCTTGAAGAACTGACGAATCACCGCGCAAAGCACTGGCCCAAATGGATGGTAATTTTGAAGCAAAATTATTTTAACTCGCCTTGGTCCACTATTTCTGTTGCTGCGGCTGTTATTCTCCTCATACTCACTCTCTTACAAACAGTGTGCTCTCTTAAATCTGTCCCGCTCTAGTAAATCTGTCCCTTTAAGCATCAACGACCGTAAATCTCTCCTTCTCCGGAGGATCCGCAAGTCCCTCCCTCGCCGTATCCTCAGAAGTCTAGCCTAGTCTTTGAAAGAGTACTATCTCAGGTTTCCTTGAAGTGAGTTTAATAGATGTTCCAACAAAATAATGTAATAGAAGTTCCAACAAAATAAAGTATTGAAAGAGTGATTTTATATTTGATATAGGGAAGCAGTGTCTACTTGTAATGACTTTTGTTGAAGTGTGTGTTGTAAATAAAGAGAAGTGATTTCCGCAAACTCTTTTCTCATCTGCACTTCTATATTTTATGGCCTTAGATGCAACCAATCGTGCAGAAATCGCTTTCCTAAATTAATGCGTATGTAGCTTCTTATGACCTACCAATTTGATGTTCATGGACCTATTCTTATGTCTTTGTATGTTTGAAGAAAAAGAAGAGAAATTGTATCATGTTTGTTGTTTTTTGGCCACACCAAGTGAACATTTCCATTAAAATGTAGCCTTAAGCATCACTCGCAAGGATATGGAATTGCTTGTTCAAAAATGTAATTGTTGAAACTCAAAGCTTGACAGGGACAAGGTTAACAAACCTTATTAATCCGAGGAAGTAATTGTTCCGAAGAAATCTCTTAACTGATCTTAGTAAAGACATCGATGCATAACGCAGAAGTGGAAGGCAATGTTGAAACAATACTCTCTCAATCTCCATGCTCTGTACTTTTTATTGTTGTGGTTGCTGCAGTCCTTATAATCACTTCCATTCAAATAGTGTGTCTAATCTCTTTCGGCATCACATGTTATCATTAAATATTGATTCTAAAAATATTATCAAATCTTCAAATAATCAAATAATTAAATCTAAGATTTCTTATTTACAAGTGAGGATGAATACCTAGTACTAAGTAAGATAGGGTCATAATTATTAAAAAAAAAGTTATTTTATATTAACCTAAATTACCTTTAATATAAAGGCAAATGGATGATATAAATTCCTCAAAAAAAAGACAACATATATGACTTTCATTTTTCTCAAATTTGAAGATAAACGTGACATTGAATACGAAAAACAAAGAAATCCTTTGTTGATGTCATGCTCATAATAGCAAAAGAATATTATAAAAACTATCACCATTGATTTATGAAAGAGCGTAATTGAAGTGTTTTTTGCTGCAAAAAATCGAGGTAGAATATAGCATTTTTGTTGCAAGACTTCATTAAACTAGTTGATTCGTACATACAATCTTTTTACCATTTGGCCGTATTAACGAAAAGGTAGTGCTAGTAATTTACAAAGAAAACCAAGTTTCTTAGAAAGATGTTAGCTACATTTGCATTTAATTTGGAAAGATAAACTTTTTAGGTCACTCTTTAGCTAAATTAGAGGACGACATTATATTCAACCAGTGGAATTCAAAAGGAATTCTCTGTTGATGGCATGCTTGAAATAGCAATAGAATATCAACCCCAATGTTAGTGATGACACACCCCGACCCGGAATGTCCACTTGGATTCTAAATCGAGTTGTGCTGGCCGACACCTGAAGGGTGACGAAACCATAAAGTGTAGTGATGCGGAAGGTATGGGTAAATTTAAACCTAAAGTGCCTAATCAAGAGAGTGTGCAGATGAGCGGGTTTGAACCCTATTCACACGTGATGTCAGAGCAGAAGACAGTATAGTAATAAGTTGAGGGTTACACCACTGAACGTAACCATCTCCTGAGATTTGCTAGAATCCTCGTATACGCGTAAACACCGCTACTAAACCTGGAGGGGCGAAAAACAATTTGAGTGGGTCAGTAAAACAATACTTATACGAAAACCTTTATTTTTGAATATACTAACCCCTCACCGTAAAATAAGTATAGTTTCCTCAAAACATACTACGTAAGTATGTAATCAAATATAACAACAATATAACCAGAAATATGTCAAGTCATGATATATCAAATGCCACAATAATAATCATGTGATAATCAATATAACTAAGTGCTCATCCATCTAAGCTGACACACAAGTTCGAACAGATGGTTTCTGACACGAACAGGACTGGGTGTAATTAATATGCTCTAGTACTACGATCACGTGAAGACTGGTGCAAAAGCACATCACATACAAGTCGGATCACCTAATGCAATCTACCCGACTTGGATCCAAGGTGAGCGAACAGTGCAGATGTGAACATACACGTGAAGGACTGGTCCTGGCCCTGGGGCGAGTACTAACACCGGGTGCAGCAAGATGAGCATGTACACAAGCACGTATGAATGCCATGGCAGTAATATCACAACCATATAACAGCATTGATCACATTTCATATCACAATATCGAATACTTGGCAATATAAGCGTAAAAGTGAAGTAAATACGTATTTATGGAAACTATAATATGTATAGGTATAAAAACAAACTGCCCACTCACAGATACTTCGCCGCTGACGAGCCACGCAACCTAGTGAAGATGGAAACGCCATTAATAATTGCCCCTAAGCACATAAAGGTACATTTAATAAAACTATACTATAATAATTGAATTTGGAAAAACGGACATCAAAAACTGATTCAGAACGTCGAATTATCCTAAGAAGGGTCCTGCTTAATTTTCCGAAAAGTCAATAAAAGTCAACATGATGAATATTCCCTGAAAGACGAAATATTCTCTGACGGATTGAAAATTCCCTAACGGAATATTTCATCTGGGTTAAGGGTTATTAGGTTGGGTTAAATTAATAGGTTGGACTTAAGGATTCTAGGCCTAAAGGCCTAAACTAAAGGGTTGAAGATTTAAAATGCATGAGCTTAAAGCCCCAAAAGGAAATGGCCAAAGACCTTTAATTAACCAAATAATAGTAAAAAAATAATAAAGGGTTAGGTTGGGCTGCCCAGGGTTTTGGGCTTGGCAGGAACGGTCTGAAGGGCCTGGGTTTGGGTTGCTGCTCGCCGGAGTTAAACGGAAGGGAAGGCCGGATTTGGCCAGAAAACTGAACAACCTTTAAACGTTAATAACTTCCTCGTTACACAACGAAATCGAGTGAAACAAGAACGAAAGTTGTAGTTCTCGAAGAGACGAAGAGAATGGTACCTTGTACAACATCTAACTCTCAGTGGTTTTGCCGGAAAACGCCTCGAAAGCCGTCGGACTCGCCGGAAACTAGGTAAGATTCAAATGAGTATAACTTCTTCAATATTCAACGAAATTGGGTGAAACAAAAAGGAAAGTTATAGCACTCAGCGAGACAAAGAGATTGATACCTTGTATGCCGGCCAAATCACCGTGGTTTGGCCGGCAATTGGCTCGAAAGGCACAGGTCAAACTTGAACTTCTCGAAACCGAGTTGTTTCACGTCAAAGCTTCCTCAAACCTTGACTAGGGACCCTAGGGAGTTGCGTAGAGACTTTCCTGAGTCCTAAAACATCGTGACTCGGTTGAAAACACGTCGAACTCAACTCGTCCGAGTTTGGACCTTCCGAATTGGCGAGTCAAAACTCGTCCATTCTTGGTTTGGTTGGTATGGTTGTGTTCGTGAGGATGAGAGGAGTAAAATGGGGTTGGTTTCAAGCTCGATCTATGAGCTTTGATGTTCGTTCATGGCGTTGCAGAGGAAGAGAGAATACGGGAGAGAAAGAGAGAGAAGAGAGAGAGAACCTTTTCTGATAGAGGGGGACAGAAAATAAAGGAAAAAAAAGGGATAGTTGAGAAATGATGAAGGGAAGTGCACGGTAGGATTTAAAAGGAATCCAATGATAGCTTTTCAGATTTCCTATAGTAAAAGGAAATCGAAATATATCCGAAGTAGATATTTTACACTTTAAAATTTACGTATACTTGTACTAGCGTGTACAATTTAAATGCGATAGCGAGAAATAAAAAGGAAAGCAATAAGAATAAGTCCACGTCTCTTGCCAATAAGGTTATAATCGTCAATACACATACTCGGGGAGATATTATATAGGAAAATTAGGGATGGGTCGTCACAGTGATGAGTCGATATTATATTATATATTTTAGGGAGTTTTAACGAAAAGGCCACGATACTGTTCACTTTAACGAAAAACCATATTTTTACACTAAAAAGTCAAACATGGTACTATTTATTTACCCTTTATTTTGTCCTTATCATTAAAACTCAAAGTTTTCAAGCCATTTTCATTAGTTTTCCTTATATTTTATCCTAATCTTAGTTATAATTTATTGGTTATTTTGGGAGAATTTTGATATTTTGAATTATATTTTCAATGTAGGATATTCGACTTCCTCTTGAGCAAAAAATAATCAATGAACGAATTTTGGAGTGATTCCAATTGAAAGATGTTCGTGAGTCTCTCAACTTGTTCGTATCAAAATTCCAAATTTTAATACTAGTTAGTTTTCTATATAGCATAAATTAAAGTATTTTTTGTTACAAAAAATCGAAATAGATATATGTTTTTTTTCTTTGTAAGACCTTTCAATCTATTGAGTCATACATACAATTTTTTGACCATTTGACAGATACCAACAAATAAACAGTACCAATGATTAATAAAGCGAACCAAATTTTCCAAAAAGAAGTTAGCGACCTTCGCATTAGGTTAGAAAGATGAGCCTTATAGGTCATCTCTTGAAAAAATTAGAGGACGACTATTTATTCAACGAGAGGAATTCAAAAAGGATGATGACATGCTTGAAAGTTTGAAAGAACAATAGAATATCATCGAAAATCTCAGCTTCATTGTTTGAAAGAGCGTATATTAAAGTGTATTTTTACTTAAAAACAGAAAAAGTCGGGGTAGATGATTTAAAAAAAAAATCATCTAAAAACATTATCATTAAACTGCCATGGAATTATTACTTATTTTATTATTGTAAAAATTATTTTCCTCAGGTACTTTTGTTTGATAATTCTTACTGCCATCTTTATATCAGTTAACTTCCCCTTTTATTTTATTTTATGGTAATAAACTTTTATATTTTATAAATTTTAGAACTTCAAATAATTTTAAATATTTGTGGCACCAAATTGTTGCACTTGTCAACAGAACTTCAACAAAAATTAACATTAGGAATCAAATTAATGAGCGATAGTTAATTTTAATTTTTTCCTTTATTCTAAAAAGAAATAATTGGTGGCAAATCATGATTATTCATTATTTTCGAGGCCCGGAAAGACTTACAGAGGCATTTTAGTCTTCTCCTGATCACAAATCTGGCTTTCAAAAATTACATTAATTGATTTTGAAATCCAGGAATAAAAAAAATGAGTCATGTAAATTTCAATGACTATTTATGATAAAAACGCCACTTGTAAATAGGTTTATTTGAAAAGTGCTTTTAAATGACTGAAAACACTTTTAAAGAAAACATTTTAAAACCAATCTTTAGTAAAAATGCAAGTTAACTATGAAAAAGCACTTGAAGTGTTTCATTCAAGAATCACATAACTAACACTTCTTGCACGAATCACTTCAAGTGATTTTGAAATTAAAAAATATTTACTTTAAAATCACTTTTAGTCATTTAAGAATATTTTCTAAACAAGTCAATAATAATATTGATATGTAGTGTGTCAGCTTATATTCTGAATACACTAAAAAATTTATCTAGAAAGTGCTTTTCTTTTGCTGAAGACCAATTGAAAATTTAACACCAGCATTGAACCGAAAAGGTGAAAATAAATTCAAACACCGGCCTAGGCCCAGGATGCTATAACTTTTCTATTGGACCGCCATTCCAGTTTCCAGATTACAAATATAAAGAGGCGGTTAGCTACGCGCCACGCGCCACGCATTTCAAGAAATTCTACGGCCACGATTCTCCTCCGCACTCGATCCAACGGCCACTACATTCCTTTATTCAGCGCGACTTACCGTTAAATTAATTAGATTTCAACCACGCTAACCTCACCCGCGCACTGCAATAATCCCACCAACTACCGCGCGACGCGTAATCCCACGTTTTTTTTTTTCCGATTGGACGAGCTCTCGATCGAACAGTCACAGGCAGTGGCAGAAGACTCTTAAGTCGCGTCACGAAAACAACAGTCGTCGTTTCGACGAAATTACGTATCAGTCTCTTCTTCTCCTCAACAATTTTCAGTTCCAAATTGCTCTCAGCTTCTCTTCTCTCCTCTGCTTTCGCTACCGGAGCTCTCTGGGACTTGAGGTGGATTACATTCATCTGATTAATTTTGTTAATATCGTTTCTTTTTTCTTCGAATTATTGATTGTAATTTGCTGATTAGTTGTAGTTTAATTTGCTGATTAAGTTTTGAGTGATGAATTTTTTGGCCGCGAAGTAATTTAATAGCTCGAAAATTTTGAGAGGTTTTATGAATTAAGTTTTGAATTTCAGTCAGAGAAATGAATTTTCATGAGAATTTGTGGTTGGTAGGAGTCGGATGAATTTAGTAAAAGGCGTCTGAAGCTGCATCCCTGAATTTCCATTTTTTGTTGAATTACCATTGTGAAAGAAGTTAACTTTGTATGAACACTTGAAGGGTTTGGTTTTGGTGAAGTTGTTTGAAGCTGCATCAATAAATTTCAAATCTTGTTGAATTGTCATTGTGAAAGAAATTACCTTTGTATGAGTGGCATCCAAAAATTACCATTGTATGCGCGTACATGTACAAGTTTCAATGGAGGATATTGATGGGGATAAATCACAATGCCTCGTAAGGGGCAATGGGAGTTAAGAACTATTTAGTAGGAGTGGTTGTGCTGACTTTGAGCTTATGCTCATGAGCTTGAAGTCAGTACGTTGATCCTATAAGAACACTAGAACGGATTATTGGGGGAGAACAGTATATGATCATCTTGATTGCTGACATACCCGCCTCTTTATGATATGTTCTTTGGCAACTAGTTCGCTCGGATATTTATTTGGCATATTCTTTTATTTTTCATATGAAGCCATATACTTCACTTGAAAAGGACTTCCATTTCGTTGTTTTATTAGCAATAATAACATAGTCAAACAGGACTTGCACATTTGAAACATCTCATAGTGGTTATTGCATAAGAATTTATACAATGATTGCTTGAGTTGCTTGGAGTTTCAGCTCACTTAGTTTCAAATTGAGACTTTTCATTTTCTTGAGCTTTTTTCCTATTAACTGTTCAAATCTTCCTTATTTAGTTAAATCTAGGGTAATCAACTCTGATTTTAGTTTTAGGTTGTGGACATATTCTTGACTTCATTTTGTGTTCTATTTCCCGTACTGACCATGTGTCGGTTTCTTTGGATCCTTTTTGTCTCCAATCTGACCATTTGTTTTCCCTTATCTTTCCTTCTCTTCCCCCAAGCAAAGATTTGTGAATTAAACTACTCTCGAGTCCAATTACAACGATGGGATGCGGAAACATCTACAAAAGACGCATGAAAGTGTGCACAGTTGCTTTTCTGATATACCTAGATTACAAGGTAAATTTCATTCATTTCCCTTTCACTTATAGGCTGCCTATTTTATATAAAATACCCTTTTAACCTATTTTTCTTATAAATCATTGAAGGCTCTGCAGCAAAGAGAGAAATGGACTAACAAAACTAAAACAGATGCTTTATGGGAAAATGCGCATAAGCGAAATGCTAAACGTGTTCTCAGTTGGATAGTGGAGTTGGAAGGTTTGTGGGTGAAACTTGGGCAGTATCTGTCTACACGGGCAGATGTACTTCCTGAGGCATACATATGCCTTCTCAAGCAATTACAGGACTCTTCCTCCTCGTCCTTTGGAAGAGGTTGTCTTTATAGATTTTGAAAGTTATAATATCAATATACAATTATCATCCGTGACGTCATTTGCTAACTGACAATTTCATTTGCACAGGTTTGTCAAACTATACAGAAAGAGTTGGGGAAGTCAATGAATGAGTTGTTCTTAGATTTTGTGAATGTTCCTTTGGCAACAGCATCAGTAAGATTTTTAGACTCTTGGGTCTTGGATGTAGAGTGAACAAATGTAACCACTTAGCTAAGATTCATTGCTAGTGATACTCTGATTCTAGAAAAAAGGTTTATCTAATTGGTTTCCCATTCTAATTTATGCAGATAGCACAAGTCCACCGTGCCACCCTGCTCAACGGGCGGGAAGTAGTTGTTAAAGTTCAACATGAGGGCATCAAGACAATTATATTGGAGGTTTGTCTTGCTTGGCTTTTGAGATTTGGGTCATAAATTAAAAAGGGGTCACTAAATTATTCTCGGACATACTTTTGTTTTGCAGGACTTGAAGAATGCAAAGTCAATTGTTGACTGGATAGCATGGGCAGAGCCTCAGTACAATTTTAATCCTATGATGGATGAGTGGTGTAAAGAATCTCCCAAAGAACTTGACTTCAATCATGAAGCTGGTATAATTAAACTGTCATCCTTACTTCTAAATTCTGTCTTACTGCTAAAATCTTATACCTTTTTAGTTTGGCAACCTTGATGACTATTTGTATTACAGGTTTGTTCATTTTGTCTACTTTATTGATTTTGTTTAGAGGTCGCACTTGGTGCGATGGCAAGTGCCTTCGTCCATGAGCGGTAGGTCTCGGGTTCGAGACTTGGGAGCAGCCTCTCCATAAATGGGGGTAAGGCTAGCCGACATTCACCTCTCCCAGACCCTGCGTAAAGCGGGAGCCTTGTGCACTGGGTACGACTTTTACTCTCTGTTTCTGTAGAGAACACCAGAACAGTGGCTAAAAATCTTGGCTGCGATACCAAATGTGATGATAGCACATGTGCCGATCGAGTGGATGTCTTGATTCCAGAGGTTATTCAGTTACTATCTGTTCCTTTCTTCTAATATATATGACTTTGCAAGCACAATTTCATTTAACTAAGAGTAATATGAGCAATTGTTCATATACAACAACAACAACAACAACAAAGCCTTTTCCCACTAAGTGGGGTCGGCTATATGAATCCTAGAACGCCATTGCGCTCGGTTTTGTGTCATGTCCTCCGTTAGATCCAAGTACTCTAAGTCTTTTCTTAGAGTCTCTTCCAAAGTTTTCCTAGGTCTTCCTCTACCCCTTCGGCCCTGAACCTCTGTCCCGTAGTCACATCTTCGAACCGGAGCGTCAGTAGGCCTTTTTTGCACATGTCCAAATCATCGGAACCGATTTTCTCTCATCTATCCTTCAATTTCGGCTACTCCTACTTTACCTCGGATATCCTCATTCCCAATCTTATCCTTTCTCGTGTGCCCACACATCCCACGAAGCATCCTCATCTCCGCTACACCCATTTTGTGTACGTGTTGATGCTTCACCGCCCAACATTCTGTGCCATACAACATCGCTGGTCTTATTGCCGTCCTATAAAATTTTTCCTTGAGCTTCAGTGGCCTACGACGGTCACACAACACGCCGGATGCACTTTTACACTTCATCCATCCAGCTTGTATTCTATGGTTGAGATCTCCATCTAATTCTCCGTTCTCTTGCAAGATAGATCCTAAGTAGAGAAAACGGTCGCTTTTTGTGATCTTCGCTAGATTGCTCCGGTCATTAGTGTGGATAAGTATATAAATGGATAGAGATAGGAAAGCAAACACAAGATGTACATGGTTCACCCAGATTGGCTACTTCCACGGAATAGAGGAGTTCTCATTAATTGTGAAGGGTTTACACAAGTACATAGGTTCAAGCTCTCCTTTAGTGAGTACAAGTGAATGATTTAGTACAAATGACATTAGGAAATATTGTGGGAGAATGATCTCGTAATCACGAAACTTCTAAGTATCGGAGTGTGGTATCGTCTTGACTTGCCTTATCTGTCTCATAGGTAGATGTGGCATCTTCTCTGGAAGTACTCTTCCTCCATCCAGGGGTGGTATCTTTAACTGGTGGAGATGCACAAGGTAATGTATCAATTTCACTTGAAGCTTACTTGTAGTTTCAGGCTTGGTCAAGCGCGATACAAACCATGTAGTAGGAGTCCCCCAAGTCGCCGAGCTAGGGGATCTGCTGAAAGAGGTGACAGACAAGGTAAGCAATCAGAGCTCCGGCTGATTGTTCACATTCTCCCTATCTTGCAGGCAGCATGAAGGATAAAGAGAAGCAAAATGAGAATAGATGATATGGGATACTTTTGCTTTTGAAGAAGTAACTTTCCACAGGCTTATTCTTGAATTGAGCTGGAGGGTTTTCTGGTTTCCTCCAGAGTATAAGGCCGACTGAAGAATTTGAAGGTCAAAACAAGTCCATCAAATCTAGAGTACGTTCGACCCTGCTGATATGGGATACTTTTGCTTTTGACAGAGTAGTGGATGTATCGGCACGTGTGCTGTTACGCTTGTCTCCACATGCTTCCTTGTATCCTTCTCACTTGCCGTATCTGTTCCTCAGGCAGATGCGGTATCTTCCCTGGAAGCATAAGATGTTGAAGATGAGTACTCGAGAGCAATGCCAGGTAAGTAATCAGGTAAGGGGTTCCAGGCAGTCAGTTCCTGGCTGGAAGCTTGATTCCAAGTGCTGACTGATTGCTCTCTTTCTCCTTGTCTTGCAGGTAAGAACAAGGCCAAAGGAAAAGACAGGGAAAAAGCATGATGGGATACTCTTGCTTTTAACCCTGATGATATGAGATATTCTTGCTCTAGTATAGCTTGTTTGCAGAGGTATTATCGGGGGGAAAGAAAGCTGAATATTTCGAAAGACTTCGTTGGGAGTGCCCTCTCAAATATGAGGAAGGGTTGAGCATTTTTGCAGGTCTGCCTGTCCGTTGGGGATGAAGGTCGACATATATAGGAGTCTCTCTAACAACAAGTAGTAATGCTATTCCTTTACCCTGCTTGGTCATAGCACGGTAGTGGGAATCTGGAAAGCTGATGTTGCGTGTGAAGAATACAGACAAGCTTTATCCAAGGAGATCCGGCTCTTGAAGTTGGGAAAGTGGTGCCTCTTCGGTTTTCGAACAAACAATCCTATCGGGGATCTGGCTCTCGAGATTCGGAGAACGATGCCTCTTCGATTTTTGAGAAAGCAATCATGCTGGGGGTCTGGCTCTCAAGATTCGGAGAGCGGTGTCTCTTCGATTTTTGAGAAAGTAATCATGTTGGGAGTCTGGCTCTCGAGATTCGAAGGGCGGTGCCTCTTCGATTTTGGAGCAAGCAATCTTGTTGGGAGTGTTTTCTCGAATGTGAGTAAAGGTTGGGCATGTTTGCTAGTCTACCTTGCCACGAAGCACAGAGGTTGACACAGAAGGACTTTCCAATTATCCAACAATGGTACTGTTCCTTTACCCTCTCTTCGATTTTTGAGAAAGTAGTCATGTTGGGAGTCTGGCTCTCGAGATTCGAAGGACAGTGCCTCTTCGATTTTGGAGCAAGCAATCTTGTTGGGAGTGTTTTCTCGAATGTGAGTAAAGGTTGGGCATGTTTGCTAGTCTACCTTGCCACGGAGCACAGAGGTTGACACACAGGGACTTTCCAATTATCCAGCAGTGGTACTGTTCCTTTACCCTTATGGGTAATAATATGGTAGCTAGACCTTCAAAATTTATGTGTCTAAACTTTGTTAGTGTTGTTTCTTTGCTATTCTTTTACCCTTCTTAGTCAGAGCGATGTAGTGGGAGCTGCAAGCTTCACGTGTCTCAACTTTGGCAAAGTTATTTGTGGTACCCATGAGCTACTGTTGCGTGTGGGAAGTGGGTGATTGAACAGTAAGATTCATGTGCTTTCTACTTCACCAGAAGTCTTCGACAGAATGCCCATAATTTCCGCAGAGCTGAGTGTGCGTGTGACAGGTGCTGACAAGGCTGGAAAAGTAGGTGCCTCTTCGATTTCTGAGATTGGCCCTCGTGGTCTCTGAGCAGCCCAGCTTTTGAGAAAGCAAGCGCCTTTTCGATTTCTGAGATCAGCATTCGTGGTCTTTGAGCAGCCCAGCTTTTGAGAAAGCAAACGCCTCTTCGATTTCTGAGATCGACCATCGTGGTCTCTGAGCAGCCCAGCTTTTGAGAAAGCAAACGCCTCTTTGATTTCTAAGCAGGCGCCTCTTCGATTTCTGAAGCTCTGTCGAGTGCAGATTTTTATAGGGGCTGGCATTAAGTTCCAAAGCACACTTGAATCTCCACCCGTAGAAGCTCCATTCTTGCACTTCTAAGATCTTGATTTATCCGACCTCTTCTCTCTTCAACACCTTTGAAAATGTCTGGCCCCTCCGACCGTCGTTTTGACTTGAACCTTGTTGAAGAGGCAGCCCCGCCTTCTCCAGACAACATATGGCGCCCATCCTTCGTCTCCCCTACTGGTCCTCTTACCGTTGGGGATTCCGTGATGAAGAATGATATGACCGCTGCGGTGGTGGCCAGGAACCTTCACTCCCAAAGATAACAGACTACTTTCCAAACGGTCTGATGAGTTAGCTGTTAAGGATTCTCTGGCTCTCAGTGTTCAGTGTGCAGGTTCTGTGTCTAATATGGCCCAACGCCTATTTGCTCGAACCCGCCAAGTTGAATCATTGGCGGCTGAAGTGATGAGTCTCAAACAGGAGATTAGAGGGCTCAAGCATGAGAATAAACAGTTGCACCGGCTCGCACATGATTATGCTACAAACATGAAGAGGAAGCTTGACCAGATGAAGGAATCTGATGGTCAGGTTTTACTTGATCATCAGAGATTTGTGAGTTTGTTCCAAAGGCATTTATTGCCTTCGTCTTCTGGGGCTGTACCGCGTAATGAAGCTCCAAATTATCAACCTCTGATGCCTCCTTCTTCTAGGGTTCTGTCCAGTACTGAGGCTCCGAATGATCCATCTCCGGTGCCTTCTCTTTCTGGGGCTCTACCGATTGCTGAGACTTCTCCTAAGCAACCTTTGTGAAGGCTCCCTCTTGTTTGTTTATTTTGACTCATGTATATGTACATATTTGTAACTTATCGGGGATATCAATAAATAAGCTTTTCTTCATTTCAACGTATTGTGTTAAATACACCAAAGCCTTCTTCGCTAAGTTCTTTGAATTTTCTTTTGCTGAAGCTTGTATGTTGAAGCTTTGTGAGTGGAGCATGTAGGTTGAGGTAGTGTTCCCTTAATTTTCCGAGTGAGGAAAACTTCTCGGTTGGAGACTTGGAAAATCCAAGTCACTGAGTGGGATCGGCTATATGAATCTTAGAACGCCATTGTGCTCGGTCCTGTGTCATGTCCTTCGTTAGATCCAAGTACTCTAAGTCTTTTCTTAGAGTCTCTTCCAAAGTTTTCCTAAGTCTTCCTCTACCCCTTCGGCCCTGAACCTCTGTCCCATAGTCGCATCTTCTAATCGGAGCGTCAGTAGGCCTTCTTTGCACATGTCCAAACCATCGTAACCGATTTTCTCTCATATTTCCTTCAATTTCGGCTACTCCTACTTTACCCCGGATATCCTCATT